TGGATCAGCGCAGGCCTATATGGGTCAACACAGGGCAACACAGGTCAAAATGGAGCAACACAAAGTGACATGGGTCAGCGTAGATCAACACGGATCAATGTGGGTCAACACATGGGTCGTCAAACATGGGTCAACACAGACTGACATGGGCCAACATGAATCAACATTGGCCAACATGAATCAACATTGGCCAACGCAGGTCACCATGGGTCACCATGGGTCACCAAACATGGGTCAACACGGACAGACACGGGTCAACATGGATCCTCATCAGCCAACATCACCCCATCACATGAAACAGCCACTGGATTGCGGCGGGCGGGGCTCTGACACAGCTGTGATGTCACTACAGGGCAACGAGTGATGTCAGAGACAGAAAGGAGTCAACATGAGAAGTCACGCCACGCCAGGGCCAGGAAGTGACGTCACCAGTGGGCAAGAAGTGACATCCCTCATAGACCAGGAGGACTATGCCTGACCTGGACCAATCTCTGATGTCACCAAGGGCCCAGGAAATGACATCACCAACTCACCAGGATGTGTGACAGGCCCAGCCCAAGCGGTGAGGTCATCACTAGATGAGGAAGTGATGTCACTGCCGGACGCAGGCCGTGAAGTGACCATCGGGGCAGGCCAGGAGGGGCCACCACCACATTCCCAACAGGCTGTGACGTCACCAGCAGACCAACCGCCCCTATAGGGGTGCTATAGGGGCCATAGGGGCTGGACCAGTTTGGCCCTATGGGGTCTATAGGGGATCCCTGAGCCCATCGAGATCCCTATAGGGGTCTATAGAGGATGCTAGCACTATAGGGATCCCCGGGGGGGGAGGGCTGTCTATAGGGGATCCTGGCCCTGTAAGGATTCCTATAGGAATCCCCAGATCATCCCTACGCAACCTATAGGGAGCCCAGACCTTATGGGGACCCCTGTGGAGATCTCCAGGGAATCACGGCCCTCTGGTGATCCCTATGGGCATGTATAGGTCCTCCGGATCCTGTGGGGGTCCCCAGGGGGGTCTATAGGGGATCGAGGACCTATGGGGGTCTATATGGATCAACATAGGCATCTATAAGTGATCGAGGCTCTACAGAGGGTCCAGGCCCTCTGGGGATCCCTATGGGGATCTACAGGGCATCTGGGCCCTATAGAGATCCCTGTGGGGATCTATAAGTCATCCAGGATCTGTAGGGCTCTAGAGGGAATCACGGCCATATAGGGGTCTATAGGGGGGATCCAGGCCCTATGGGGGATAGTTTGGGGGGCGGGGGGTGTCTATAAGGCATGAAGGCCCCTATATAGGTCTACAGGAGGACAAGGCTCTACAGGGATCCCTATGGGACTCTATAGGGGATCCCAGACCTATAGGGAACCCCATAGGGATCTATAAGGCACCTAGGATCTATAGGGGTCTTAGGGGATCCCAGCCCCTGTGGAGACCCCTCTGGGGGGTCTATAGAGGACTGTGACCCTACAGAAGTCTTGCTGGTGGTCTATAGAGGATCATGGCCCTATGGGAGTCTATAGGGCACTGCAGCCTTAACGAGTACCTATGGGAGTCTATGGGGGATCCCAGCCCTACTGAGAGCTACGGAGCTCTATAGGGGATCGCCGTCCTATGGGGGTCCCTATGGGGGTCTACAGGGCTTCAGAACCTATGGGGGTTCCTATGAGGGTCTATAGGGGTCTGCAGCCATATGGCGGTCCCTATGGGGGTCTAAAGGGGACTGAAGCCCAACAGGGGTCCTGATGCAGGTCTATAGGGGACCGCAGCCCAATGGTGGTCCTGATGGGCATCTATAGGGATCCCAGCCCTACAGGAGTCCCTATGGGTCCCTAAAGGCATTCATACACTGTGGGGGTCCCTATGGAGGTCCACAGGGGATCGCAATCCTATGGGGGTCCCTATGGGCATCTATAGGCATTTGTAGACTACGGGGTTCCTTATGGGGGTCTATAGGGGATCTCAACCCTACAAGGGTCCCTATGGGGTCTATAGGGGATCCCAACCCTATGGGGGTCCCTACAGGGTCTATAGGCATTTTTACACTACGGGGGTCCTTATGGGGGTCTATAGGGGATCCCAACCGTACAGGGGGTCCCTATAGGCATTGGTACACTACAGGGGTCTCTATGGGGTCTACACGGGATCCCAATCCTACAGGGGTCCCTATAGGCATTTGTATACTACAGGGGTCCCTATGGGGTGTGTAGGGGAACCCAAACCTACGGGGGTCCCTATGGGGTCTATAGGGGATCCCAATCCTACAGGGGTCCCTATGGGGTCTATAGGGGATCCCAACCCTACAGGGGTCCCTATGGGGGATCCCAACCCTACAGGGGTGCCTATAGCCATTGGTACACTACAGGGGTCTCTATGGGGTCTATAGGGGATCCCAACCCTATGGGGGGTCTCTATAAGCATTTGTACACTACAGGGGTCCCTATGGGGTCTATAGGGGATCCCAATCCTATGCGGGTCCCTACGGGGGTCTATAGGGGATCCCAACCCTACAGGGGTCCCTATGGGGTCTATAGGGGATCCTAATCCTATGGGGGTCCCTAAGGGCATCTATAGGCATTTTTACACTACGGGGGTCCTTATGGGGGTCTATAGGGGATCCCAACCGTACAGGGGGTCCCTATAGGCATTGGTACACTACAGGGGTCTCTATGGGGTCTACACGGGATCCCAATCCTACAGGGGTCCCTACGGGGTCTATAGGGGAACCCAAACCTACGGGGGTCCCTATGGGGTCTATAGGGGATCCCAATCCTATGCGGGTCCCTACGGGGGTCTATAGGGGATCCCAATCCTATGGGGGTCCCTACAGGGTCTATGGGGGATCCCAACCCTACAGGGGTCCCTATAGGCATTTGTATACTACAGGGGTCCCTATGGGGTCTATAGGGGATCCCAATCCTATGGGGGTCCCTATGAGGTCTATAGGGGATCCCAAACCTACAGGGGTCCCTACGGGGTCTATAGGGGATCCCAACCGTACAGGGGGTCCCTATAGGCATTGGTACACTACAGGGGTCTCTATGGGGTCTACACGGGATCCCAATCCTACAGGGGTCCCTATGGGGTCTATAGGGGATCCCAACCCTACAGGGGTCCCTATGGGGTCTACAGGGGATCCCAACCCTATGGGGGGTCTCTACAAGCATTTGTACACTACAGGGGTCCCTATGGGGGTCTATAGGGGATCCCAACCCTACAGGGGTCCCTATGGGGGTCTATAGGGGATCCCAATTCTATGGGGGTCCCTATGGGCATCTATAGGCATTGGTACACTACGGGGGTCCTTACAGGGGTCTATGGGGGATCCCAACCCTACGAGGGTCCCTATGGGATCCATAAGTGACCGCGGCCCCGCGGCCACCCCGCGCCCCCCGCTACGGGTCCCCGCGAGGGGCGTGGCCTCTCCCGCCCCCGTCTCTATGGTGCAGGGGGGGCGGCGGGAGGACCGCGCCCGCGTCCCTCTCTATGATCCCGGCTCACTTCCTCTCTTGGCCCCCCCCGGAAGTGACGCGTGGGAGAAAGAAAGACGGAGGCGG